GCTGGTCTCAAACTCCTGACCTCAGGTGATCCACCTGCCTTGACCTCCCAGAGTGCTGGAATTATAGGCATGAGCCACTGTACCCGGCTCCTTCCCCTCTCCCCCTTTTTTGAGTCAGAGCCTCACTCTGTCACTCATGCTGGAGTACAATGGTGCGATCTGGGCTCACTGCAGCTTCTGCCTCCACAGTTCAAGCGATTCTTGTGTTTCAGCCCCCAGAGTGGCTTTACAGGTGCATGCCACCAAGGCCTGGCTAATTTTTTTTTTTTTTTTTTGAGACGGAGTTTCGCTCTTGTTACCCAAGCTGGAGTGCAATGGCACGATCTCAGCTCACTGCAACCTCCGCCTCCTGGGTTCAGGCAGTTCTCCTGCCTCAGCCTCCTGAGTAGCTGGGATTACAGGCACGCGCCACCATGCCCAGCTAATTTTTTGTATTTTTAGTAGAGACGGGGTTTCACCATGTTGACCAGGATGGTCTTGATCTCTTGACCTTGTGATCCGCCTGCCTCGGCCTCCCAAAGTGCTGGGATTACAGGCTTGAGCCACCGCGCCTGGCATTTTTTTTTTTTTTTTTTTTTAGTAGAGATGGGGTTTTGCCATATTGGCCAGGCTGGTCTCAAACTCCTGACCTACAGTGATCCACTCACCTCGACCTCCCAAAGTGCTGGGATTACAGGTGTGAGCCACTGTGCCTAGCTTGAGACTACTTTTTTTTTTTAATTTTTTGCGGTGATTTATTTAGGCAGAGAAAGAAAAAAGAAGGGGAAGCAGCTAGCTCTCATGCTGAGTGAGGAGAAAGAAAAGCCAATTTCACACTGAGTGAAAAGGGTTTCCAGAGGGGGCAAATTAGGGAAGGAAAGCTTCTCTCACACTGACTGAGAGAATCCAGAAGGATGTAATCCAGGAGAGAGAAAGCAGCTTCGATTAAGGTAGTGGAAGGTCAGCCTGAGACTACTTTTTGATGGAGCCCACTCAAGGGAATGAGGAAGCAAGGCAAGAGATTTAAGCCACAAGTGGCTGGCTAAATAAAAAGCTTAGTCAGATTTGGGGATGCAATCAAACCCTTCTATTGCTGTGGTTTGAACATACAGTCTAATGAGCAGGGAGACCATTAGTTCTTTCTGGGGCAGTGGAACAGGAGAGAATACCTGGGACCTTACAGCTACTCTAGTTGTAATGTATTAATGAGTTATCACAAGAGAAGTTCCATAGCTTATCAATATATATCTATACCTACATCTACATATCTATCTACATAGATAGATATTACATTAAATGCTTCAATAACTAGGGTCCACATTTAATATACTAACATCTAAGGATGTGGCCAAGAAAAATTGTAATTAGGCTGAATTTCATTACCAAAGTTCTTCTTTTTTCATTTAATCCTTTTGTTTTTGTTTTTTTTTTTCCTTTTATCACCAAAGGCACTAGACTGGATCATTTAATCCTTTAATAAAAGATGATCTTCGTAAATTATGGAAAGTTTGCTTATCCTGTTTGACCTTTTGCAGAAAAGAACAAGAGGGGCCGGGCGCGGTGGCTCAAGCCTGTAATCCCAGCACTTTGGGAGGCCAAGGCGGGTGGATCACAAGGTCAAGAGATCGAGACCATCCTGATCAACAAGATGAAACCCCATCTCTACTAAAAATACAAAAAGTTAGCTGGGCATGGTGGTGCGTGCCTGTAATCCCAGCTACTCAGGAGGCTGAGGCAGGAGAATTGCCTGAACCCAGGAGGCGGAGGTTGCGGTGAGCCAAGATCGCGCCATTGCACTCCAGCCTGGGTAACAAGAGCGAAACTCCGTCTCAAAAAAAAAAAGAACAAGAGGGAAGACAGACCTTCAGGCTAGGTGCAGTGGTTCATGCCTGCAATCCCAGCACTTTGGGAGGCCAAGGTGGGAGGATCACTTGAGCCCAGGGACTTAAAACCAGCCTGGGCAACATGGCAAAACCGCATCTCTTCAAAAAACAAAAAAATTGGCTGGGCATGGTGTGTGTGCCTGTAGATACAGGTAACTGGAAGGCTGAAGTGGGAGGATTGCCACTGCACTGCAGCCTGGGTGACAGAGTGAGACCCTGTCTCAAACAAAACAGAACAAAATGCCTTCAAAAATATATCTTCAGAAGGCTGAGGCAGGAAGATTGCTTGAGCCCGAGAGTTTGAGGCTGTAGTATGCTGTGAGTGTGCCTGTGAGTAGCCACTGGGCAATGTAGTGAGATGCCGGTCTTAAAAAAAAAATGTTAAAATTTGATATAGTAGGCACTGACAAGTCAAATGCAGAACTCATTTCTAAGCTTGCAATCTATCTAAATGCAGATGCTGATTTACAGTGCATAATATGTATTATACAAGTACAGACCTAGGTTAGGACTTAAATTTCATTTTGTGCAATAAAAAGGTTAAGTGATGGTTAAGCAAGGTGTAGAATTATCCTTACCTCTCCTGTCTAATTACACAAGCTTACATTGGCATTCCTTTGGTACTTTTACATATAAAGTGGCAGCTGTTTTTGAATAACTGTTGCTGGAGACTCAGGCCTGCTTTGTGCTTCGTGCTTCCCAGACTTTCTCCTTTATTCCTATCACCATATAAGTACTCAAAAAAGAGCAGTGTAAACCAGGTGTTACATTTCCACAAAAGAAAGTAGAACCAGGAATAGCCACATGATACTTACTGACTGAAAGCTTCACTTTCCCTATGGAGAAAGCAAGCAACATAAATTTTCTGATTTGGGGTATACTCACTGCAGGTTGGCGTTATTGGTGTTAGAAGTGTCTGATAGGAATCTGTTTTAATTATACTGCTGGAGTGTGGAGGTGGAATACAAGGCTGATTCCTTTATTACTGGAAGTGTTGTTACTTTCTATTATCTCAGGTTTCATTTTGTATAATAAACTGCTTCTTGTTAAATGTTTTCTTCTTGGTTATTTCCTTGCGGGGGTGAGTATAATAAAGTTGAAGATATGTGAAAAAGTTTCAGGTTGGGTGTGGTGGCTCACACCTATAAATCCCAGCACTTTGGGAAGTCAACATAGGAAGCTCATTTGAGCCCAGAAGTTCAAGAGCAACCTGGGCAACATACAGAGACTTCATCTCCAAAAAAAAAAAAAAAAAAAGAAAGAAAAGAAAAAAAAAGAAAAACTTAGCTGGGTTTGGTGGTGTGAGCCTGTGGTAACAGCTACTCCAGCAGCCAAAGGAGGAGTATCACCGGAGCAAGGCCAAGTCTGCAGTGAACTAATCACTCCAACCTGGGTGACAGCAAGACCCCATCTCCAAAAATAAAATAAATAAAAAACACTTGTTCATTTAACAAGTATTTATTGGCACTATTCTAGGCACTGTGGATTCAGCAATGAACAAGATAGACAAGGTTCCTTCTTTCATGCTTACATTTTAAAATGGGTTTTAGGGATAGGTAAGGCCATAAACAGACAATTAAGACTGTGATAAGTGCTATGAAGAAAACAAGTTGATGGTGGCAGGGTGTGAGAAGTCAGGGAAGCCCTCTGTGACATGAACTGAGACTTAAGGATAGAAAAACAACCAGCCATGTAGGTATCAGTGGGAAGATTCCAAACATCTGTAATAAGTGATTTTTAACACACTGAATTTACAAATCCAAATAAATGTTGCTCCTCCAAAGTAGTCATCTTATTAGCTATAGGCTTGTTTATGCTTACATTACCAAAAACATTTCTTGGAACTTATTTGGAAATGCTTTGAGAATATGCTGCACATCTTTGGAATGAGTTTTGTAAATAGCTAGAAGTCACTTGAGAACCACGTCTAGCCAGAGGCTCATGAATGTAAAGCACTTTGGGAGGGGAAGGCAGGAGGACCGCTTGAGCCCAGGAGTTCGACACCAGCCTGGGCAACACGGCAAAACCCTGTCTCTACAAAAAATAAGGAAATGACCTGGGCGTCGTGCCTTGCACGTGTGGTCTCAGCTACTCAGGAGGCAGAGGCGGGAGGATCGCTTGAGTTCAGGAGTTTGAAGCTGCAGTGAACTATAAATGTGCCAATTGCACTCCATTCTGGGCAACAAAGAGAGACCCTGTCTCAAAAACATGTCTGGCGAAGGAGCACAACTGAAGGTCCAAGTCTGTAAGACTGGCGAAAGGACTAAAAAAGACGATGAATTCCAAAGTGTTTGAGCTTCATCCTACCAACTGAGATTGCTACAAATGAGCAAACCGTATCTAATAGTATTAGTAGCAGTTGTTATAAAATGAAATAAGTAATTTTTCCTTGCGGCTTTGGAGTGGTCCTAAAGGTAGTGAAAAACGACAGTTCTTGCAGGTTTATTAATTTTTTTTTTTTTTTTTTTTTTTGAGACGGAGTTTCGCTCTTGTTACCCTGGCTGGACCGCAACCTCCGCCTCCTGGGTTCAGGCAATTCTCCTGCCTCAGCCTCCTGAGTAGCTGGGATTACAGGGACGCGCCACCATGCCCAGCTAATTTTTTGTATTTTTAGTAGAGACGGGGTTTCACCGTGTTGACCAGGATGGTCTCGATCTCCTGACCTCGTGATCCACCCGCCTCAGCCTCCCAAAGTGCTGGGATTACAGGCTTGAGCCACCGCGCCCGGCAAAACAAAAATCTTTACTAACCTAACATCTTAGTCTCAAATTTGACTCGCCCTCCCTCGCCCCCTGCAACCCCGCCCTATGCCAATCATCCCTAGACTACGTCGGCTACCACCAGAAGAGTGTCGACTTACCAGGGCCCTTTCCTGCAAATCCCTGGCCCAGTACTGATCCCAGGCTTCAGGGCCCGGAGCCCATCATGGGGAAGCCTCAGTCGGCGTACGAACCCAAAGAGTCTCCTCCTAACCTGCCGATGAGTACGAACCCGCCGCTGTTCGAACCCAGCATCGCAGCAGCACCGACCAAGAAAAAGAAAGAGGTGGCCGCCAGCAAGCCACCGCGCCTTCCTCGAGCTCCGCGCCGATTTGTCGAGCCCGTAGGGGTCACGCGAGGTCACGCACGGAACCGCAAAGCCTGCCGGGAGCTCCGTGCGCGATGGCTACACCCAGTCTGCGGGGCCGCCTGGCTCGGCCTTGGAACTCGCGGAAGCCTGTACTGAAGCCCAATAAACCCCTCATTCTAGCTAACCGCGTAGGGGAGCGGCGCCGGGAGAAGGGCGGTGAGCAGTCAGAGCCAGGAGGGCCGCGGAGCAGAAGCCGGAGCGTGAGCAGGGGCGGGTGGGTAGGAGGGCAAGAAGGTAAGGGACTTCTTGTGATTGAAGGTCCCCTGGATCTGCCCCTCCAGAGGCGACTTGCATCACGGAGATGTCGGTGATGATGGCTTGCTGGAAGCAGAATGAATTCCGCGACGATGCGTGCAGAAAAGAGATCCAGGGCTTCCTTGATTGTGCCGCGAGGGCTCAGGTGACGGATGTTTCCTGGGGTGCTTTCTCAGGAAAAGAATGGGGGAGACACAAATAATGATTCTCCCTGCCTTTTGCTAGGAAAGGCCCTTTCATTCATTTGGGAGATATATCACTCACGCCAAAGTGGGAAAGGTTACGGTTTTGAAGACTGTATGATCTAGACGGATTTATTCATTGCTGTGAACTTTCGTGTTACTGTACGTAAAACGAGGTTAATACTAATACCCACCTTACAGAATGTTGTGTCAGATGAAGTAATGAATGGGAAAACCATTTTGAAAAATTTAAATTGCTGCTCAAGTAGACATTATTGTCTGAAATAGAACGAAAGAGACTAAAACTAAATAATGACAGTTGTTTGGTTTCCAGCCTAGGTTTAATTGGTAGCTGAGATAGTAGCTTCTGAGCGTAGTCTCATTTGTAGGTAGGTCCCAACGCCCTTTTGTTGAAAAGCGGCTGACTTAGATTTCTCCAGGCTGGTTAACATCTTCATGTGCATTAGGGTATTGTGAGAACTATGGGCCTAGGTCAGGACAAACTTGATTGATTGATTGATTGATTTTTTGGGGATCAGGTCTTAAAAATCAGGACTAGACAAACTTTAGAGCTGTCATTCTTGTATTTGTTTTGTGTTTTCAGGAAGCCCGAAAGATGAGATCAATACAGCAAACCCTGGGAGAGTCTGGGGGTTTACCTCCAAAGAAATTGAATAAGTTGTTGCAGAGGTTTCCTAACAAACCTTACCTCAGCTGAAAATGGAGAAGCATTTTCAATGATTGAACTATAGCTTCTGACAACAGAGGCATTTTAGAGATGTTGGCATTGCCATGCTGTCTTTGGAGGGTAGAAGAGGCAAAACACTTTTTTCACCCTTTGGAATCATAATGTGGGTAGAAGTCATGATTTATCTTGAAATAAAATCCTCTGAAGAGAACTTGGCCTTTTGTCTTGAATTAGGTACTCCCTCCATGCTTGAACCGTTTCCTCCTTTCGACCCAGGAAGTTCTTTCCTTCCTGATTTGCCCTACCTTTGTCTTATCTTTCCCTGCATTTGAGGTCTTTTACACACCATTTAGTGCCCTTGCCTTTGGATACAATAAGAAAATTGAAGTTTGCTATCATCTGTAAATACTTAGTGATTGCCTGTTTTGTGCAGAGCCCCTGCAAGGTGCTCTCTGAATAATCAAGTTAACGAACTGGTGACCTAGAGGTTCTGCAGATGTGCTTTATTTGACCCATGCAGTTAAAAAAAGTTTTTAAATTAGCTGGTCATGTTTAAAAATAGGAAAAAAAAGTCATTAAAATTCCACATTTTAGCTTTATTCATTTATTTAAGACGGAGTCTTGCTGTTGCCAAAGCTGGAGTGCAATGGCAAGATCTCAGCTCACTGCAAACTCTGCCTCACAGGTTTAAGTGATTCTTCTGCTTCAGCCTCCGAGTAGCTGGGATTACAGGCACCCACCATCATGCCTGGCTAACTTTTGTATTTTTAGTAGAGATGGGGTTTCGTTGGCCAGGCTGGTCTCTCCTGACCTCAAGTGATCCGCCCACCTTGGCCTCCCAAAGTGCTGGAATTACAGGTATGCACCACTGCGCCCAGCCACTTTTGTTTGTTTGTTTGTTTTTGCTTTTTTGGAGACAGAGTCTCACTCTGTTTCCCAGGCTGGAGCGTTGGAGTACAGTGGCAGGATCTTGGCTCACTGCAACCTCTGCCTCCCAGGTTCAAGGAATTCCCCCGCCTCAGCCTCCCAAGTAGCTGGGATTACAGGCGCCTGTCACCACACCTCGCTGGTTTTTGTATTTTTAGTAGAAATGGGGTTTCACCATGTTGGTCAGACTGGTCTCCAACTCCTGGCCTCAGGTGATCCACCCACCTTGGCCTCCTAAAGTGAAGGGATTACAAATGTGAGCCACTGCAGCCGGCCTCTTTTTTTTTTTTTTTTTTTTTAAATAAAATTACAAGCTCTTGCAGCCTTATTATTTCCACCTGGCAATTAGGTAGAGCTGATTATCAATTGTTTGCATTCTCCAGTGACCTCACCCATGGACTTTCCAAAATGGTGAGACGGAATTAACAATTGCCTTCTTTGTTTATTACCTGTTTATTTCTCTCAAGTTATCTGCCTGGTTGCTGAAGACATTCATTTATGTGATTCCCCTGATATTAGGAAAAATTACATGGCATTTTATGTATACTCTGTCCTTTCAGGAATAATTGAGTTAGTTTTTAAATGAACTTTACAGTGTTAAATGTGGGACAAACGATCAGTGGTGCTTTTAATGCACCAATGGGATAATTATTAAGGTAGGAAGGGGTCTTGCCTCCCTGACCCATTGACAGCTGTCTGTTCCCACGCTGTTCATAACCCATCAGTAGGTCCTGGAGCAACTCTACAGTTCTACAGGATGAGCCTTTAAGCTATAGGAAGAAGTTCAGTGCCTAGGCACTTTGGACTAGGCTTAGGAGTTCTTAACCTAGGCCAGTAGACTCGAGTTAAGACATCTGTGAACTTGGGGGAAAATTTATATTTTTAACTACAACTGAAATTTAGCATTTCAGTCAGGGCTATGGGAAACAAACCACAGTAACATTACCAAAACCTGTATGAAATCACGGTATTTTCATATCATTACAGTTGGTTATAAATATCTCAAAAAGCATTTATACTTATCACTAGCTTCAAAATTATGATAGTTACTACACTTCCTCCTAAATTTTGGAGGAATTAGACCCTATAAATTAGACCCTATAAACAAGGTCGGCTGGATTGCAGACTTCTGGACTACGATTCCCAGAAGGTGGTGCTGCCCTGGGGCCAAATCCAGAGTTAAGACAATAACTCCATCCAGTAGTTCCTGTGCAGTCCTGACAGCCTACAATTCCCAACATGCATGGCGGCTGTTCATTCCTTAGGGACATTATGGACTCCGAGTTATTTCTGCGATCTATAGTTGTTTCCTATAGCATTGGGAGTTGGCTTGCCCTTATGGTATCTGAGGGTGGGTCTGAGGAAAAAAAAGCAGACAAATGCAGCAATTAAATAAACATGTCCCCTACATCCGCCCGTACCCGATCCGGATCCCGAGCGCGCGCGAGGGCGGAAGTGGTGGAGGCCCGCGCGGCCGGAAGTCCAGATCAGCTGATGGGGGAGGCGGCTCCGCAGCCGCCTAGAGGCCCCAGCCACCGAGTGCTTCGTCCCGGCCGTAAGTCTCGGAGACTGGCCAAGATCACCGCTTGCACCTCGCTTTTGGGCGAGGCTCGTTCCCGTCTCTTTTCCAGGCCTGAGATTCTCGCCCGGCACGGCCGCCCTGAGCGCCCCGGCCACCCCCAGCCCCGGCTCGCCCCTCAGGCCCCGGGCCTCCCCTCAACCCCCGGCCGGCGGCCCAGGCCCCGGATCCGCGGGGGGGGACCCGGCCCCGGGGGGTGCAGGCCCCATGGAGCTGATGTTCGCGGAGTGGGAGGACGGAGAGCGCTTCTCATTCGAGGATTCGGACCGTTTTGAGGAGGATTCGCTCTGTTCCTTCATCTCCGAGGCCGAGAGCCTCTGCCAGAACTGGCGGGGATGGCGCAAACAGTCAGCGGGGCCCAATTCCCCCACTGGCGGCGGTGGCGGAGGTGGCAGTGGCGGTACCAGAATGAGAGGTGAGAGTGAGCTGGGGGGAAGAGGAGCAGCAGGCCCTGCTTGGGCCTCGCTCGGGAGCTGTCCGGGACCAGGAGCTGTCCCCGACCGAGAGCTGTCTTCAACCAGGGGAGGAGCGGGGAGCTGTCCCCAGTCGGGAGCTGTCCCCGACTGGAAGCTGTCCCAAGCTTAGAACAGACTTCAGGACTCGCTTTTCCGGCCTTCCTGGGGTGGGCTGGCTTCTCCACACGTGTGTCTGTGTTTGCGCGCGCGTGCGAGCGCGCGCACGCTGTGGCAGGGAGATCCTGTGTTGGACAGAAAGTAAATCTTCCGTCACTCCTTTGCCTTAGAGATGGGATAAGGTAGAATTCCATCTTTGACTTGGAAATACTTAACTGAGTTCAGTCTGAGGCAAAATACCGGAAAATAGAAGAGAATGTGGGTAGGGGGCCGATGGTGAATAAGTGGCCACTTGTGGCGCGCCACCTCATTGCAAAATGCATTGGGAGCTTCTTGCTTTGGGGTGATCATCTCTGATCCCAGAAGCATTAAGATGGGATCCCACCCAGTGGAAAGTAGAGGTGAGCTGGCCTGCCTGCCAGAGATTCCGTAGTTCATAGGTTTAGGCTTTGCTTCTGGCTATGTCGAAAACGTCTGTCAGAAGCCAAGGCTGGGACTTGCCTGTGCCTTCCTCATGGCACAGTTTTTGTCCTGGTCCTCAGTGGAAGCTGGCTTTTTTCAGCAGTTGAGGAGTTTAATTTGTGTGATTCTACTCAGGCCTTTCCCGTTTTCCAAACTGGCTTGCGGAGATTTCTGGTACTCCTTTGGGACAGAGAGAAATTTACTTGTATCACTTTTTACAAGTGGTGGAGGGGTGGCAGCTTCAGCTTCAGTTGAAGAGGACGTATGTTCTGTGTACACACACACACACACACGCGCGCGCGCGCGCACAGATCATAGGCAGTTTTACCGTGGGTCTTCTGTGGCCTTTCGGCTTCTTTCATATTTGAATATGTAGGTAGTCTTGGGGCTTAGTGCTCCCTCACTTTGAGGGAAGTAACTGATTTTTAATATATTGGTGTTATCTTCCTGGTCAGGTTAAAATCTGGGAAAACATGCCATGTTTCCCCAAACCCCCAACTTTAGTCATTCATAAAATAAAGGGCTGGGCACGGTGGCTTGCACCTGTAATCCCAGTACTTTGGGAGGCTGAGACAGGTGGATCACTTGTGGTCAGGAGTTCGAGACCAGCTTGGCCAACAAGGTGAAACCGTGTCTCTACTAAAAATACAAAAAAAAAAAAAAAAATCGCTGGGTGTGGTGGCACATGCTTGTAATCTCAGCTACTCGGGAAGCTGAGGTGGGAGGAAAGCTTGAACCCGGGTGGCGGAGATTGTGGTGAGCCAAGATGGCACCAGTGTACTCCAGCCTGGGTGACAGAGTGAGACTTCATCTCAAAATAAAAAAATAAAAATCTAAAAATAAAGGGGTTAACTTTATTAAAAAGATTATTTTTCTCTGGGCATGGTGGCTCATGCCTGTAATCCCAGCACTTTGGGAGGCCAAGACGGGTGGATCATGAGGTCAAGAGATCGAGACCATCCTGGTCAACATGTTGAAACCCCTCTCTACTAAAAATACAAAAAAAAAATTAGCTGGGCATGGTTGTGCGTGCCTGTAATCCCAGCTACTCAGGAGGCTGAGGCAGGAGAATTGCCTGAACCCAGGAGGCGGAGGTTGCGGTGAGCCGAGATGGCGCCATTGCTCTCCAGCCTGGGTAACAAGAGCGAAACTGTCTCAAAAAAAAAAAAAAAAAAAAAAGATTCTTTTTCATTCTATTATTTTATGATCTATTATTGTGACTGGCAATTTTGTGAGATGTACAGTTTGTCATGTTATCACTGCTTTTTGAGTAAAACACTGTGGAAAACCTTGAGTGGTAACTCCATCTTAGTCCAGTGATTCCAGTTGCAGCAGCAGCTAGGTCCCCTGGGATAACTCTCTCCCCATGATGGTTTTCAGTGTGGAAAGTCGTTATTTAGGTGTGCCAAAAGGGGTCTGGCTTCTCATGCTTCTTGAGGTTCCTTCTGGACTCTGGCCTATCTTTCCTCCTTAGCTAGGGACCTAGAGTCATCCAGAGTAAAAGGGATTAAAAAAAAAAAAAAAAAAAAGTCAGAAGCAAGAATGCCAGAGGAGAGACATTAGTCATGTAATCTGAATTTAAAATGCTCGTGGAATATGGAAAATTCAGTGCTGAGCCATGTGGACAGGGTTACTTGCTAGGGTCTTGGAACGCACCTGTCTGGCCAGGAG